TTTTTTTTAGTTAATTTAGCCCTTCCCCCTCCAGAAATGTTTATGAATTTCCGACTATGGTCTTATTTAGTATATATTTGTCTCCACAGTAAAAGTGTAATACAATTTTATATTAATGAAATGGTATACCAAGTACCAAAATAATTCATCAAATCAACATCAAACATTTAAATTTAAAAAAAAGTAGATAAAGATAAAAATAAGTGGTAGACTCAGAATTAAGATTTCAGAGTGTGTAATTTGTATACACTATTTATCAAAAATTCAAAATATACATTCTCAATTTTTAGATGTCCAACTTTATCTGTTATTTTTACCATATTCATCTCACGTTGGTGTTAAATTATTACTATTATTTATTTTTTTTACTAATATTTTAGATATGATTTTATTCTAAACAAAGATCTATCATTATAAGTATAAGATAGAAAATATAAATTGTTTATTTCTTATTTGGTTATATATTTTTGTCTTAATTAATCAAAAAAAAAAAGGTATCATCATTCGTCACTAATGTGTGGCTTCTTCCCAAAAAATATTCAGGTTAATTACTTTGGCACTTTGCAGCACATTAACTATTGGCTTATTAATAACAGATTATGGGTTTCTTATGAAAAAAAATCTTTTTGTATTTACCGCCATCTATGATCGATGGCTCATACTTCAGAGAGATTGTTATAATCTTAAAGTCGCTCAATCATGTTGGTATTGCCAAACTGTAAACTGTTATTTACATTCCCCAAACGTGTACACACTGATCACAAACGCCGATCTAAAATGTCTGTTGTGTTTGCCGTAATGCCGTATAAACACGCGTCGTTTACCGATTAATCTTCTGTTTTCTTAAATTGTTTTCTCTGTTAACTTAATTTTTACACAACAATCACTCAATATCCAACATCCTCCAGTTGAGTTTAACGCTCCACTCATAAACTTCATATTCGTGCGATGGCAGATGCCGATGATCTTTTAGACTACGAAGAAGACGAACAGAACGAAACCGTTGAAAACGATGACAAGAAACAAGCCAAAAAAGAAGTTAAGGGTAACTATGTGTCCATACACAGTTCGGGTTTCCGTGATTTTCTCTTAAAACCGGAAATACTGAGAGCAATTGTTGACTGTGGTTTTGAACATCCGTCCGAAGTGCAGCATGAGTGTATACCACAGGCTATGCTGGGCATGGATATTCTTTGCCAAGCCAAGTCTGGTATGGGTAAAACGGCCGTGTTTGTCTTATCCACTTTACAGCAGTTGGAAGTGTACGAAAGTGAAGTATATGCTCTGGTCTTGTGCCACACCAGAGAATTGGCTTTCCAGATAAGTAAAGAATTTGAGCGCTTCACTAAATACTTGCCGGCAGTCAAGGTCAGTGTTTTCTTTGGTGGTGTACCCATCACGAAAGATGAAGATACATTAAAGAACAACAAGCCCCATGTAGTGGTAGGCACACCAGGTCGCATATTAGAACTGATCAGAAAAAAAAAATTGGTTCTCAATAATCTGAAGCATTTTATTTTGGATGAGTGTGATAAAATGTTAGAGATCTTACACATGCGAAGTGATGTCCAAGAAATATTTAAGAACACGCCATTTAACAAACAAGTCATGATGTTCAGTGCTACACTTAGCAAAGATATAAGACCTGTCTGTAAAAAGTTTATGCAACAACCATTGGAAGTATATGTTGACGATGATGCTAAACTATCATTACACGGCCTCCAGCAATACTATGTTAAACTCACTGAAAAGGAAAAAAATAAGAAGTTATTTGATCTTTTAGACGAATTAGAATTCAATCAGGTAAATTTCAATTTCAATTAAATACTATATTATTATAAAGCTAATGTAGTTTATGTTGTTAAAATTGAAATTTTTTWTTGTCCAGGTCATAATTTTTGTTAAATCTGTTCAACGTTGCGTAGTTCTCACAGAGCTACTTAATGAACAAAATTTCCCATCTGTTGCTATGCATGGTGGTATGTCCCAACAAGATCGATTAAAGTTCTACCAAGAATTCAAAGATTTTCAAAAGCGGATATTAGTGGCTACCAATTTGTTTGGTCGAGGAATGGATATTGAACGAGTGAACATTGTTATAAACTACGACATGCCTGAAGACACCGACACCTATCTTCATAGAGTGGCAAGAGCTGGGCGTTTTGGTACCAAAGGATTAGCAATAACATTCATTTGTGAAGAAACTGATGCAAACGTTTTGAATAGTGTTCAAGATAGGTTTGATGTCACCATTGGTCAAATGCCCAATGAAATTGAGCTCAGTTCTTACGTTGAGAGAAAATGATTTTATAATATCTAATATTTTATGAAATTTTACAAAACAATGATAATAATATGATAGCTTGCCTTATGATTTTAAAGTTTTGCAAGACATATTCTTACATTCTAAATTGTRTTACTCACTTAAAGTGATTTAATTTACTTGTGAGTAATCATTTTAAATATTAACTATGGAAACATTTTGTCAATTTTTTTTTTTTTTGCATTTGTGTATTGTGTATGGTTTAATATTTAGGGACATTAGATATTATCTTCATAATATGATTAGAAGTTAAGATTGTACATAATAATGCAACTGACTAAATTATTAAACTAATTTGCAAACTGTATTGATATGTAGTTTTTTAAATTTTCCAATAAACCTAGACAAAAATATATGGAAACAAATTTTTTTTCAATATTATGTGTTCATCAATGACCACTTAAAGTATTACTAATAAATTATCATAATTTAGTTTTTTTTATGAATGCCAAATTGATTTCTATAAGTATCAAATGTATTGAATTATGTTTTACTAGTTTAATTTGATTGAATGAGTTGAAATTCTTAAAAGTTGATTTTGTTTTCATTAAAGTTTTTTTTTATATTATTATAATTTATGACTATTCAATATTAATGTCAATTTTTTTTAAATTAAATCCGTGTGTTAATTTAAGGTAATAAAAAAAAAATGTGTCCACTAAAATCTTCACTATGTGTTATATATTTCGAATTGTGAATCCATACTGAAATATCGGAAAGTATCACATATCCATTTTTTAAATGTTTAATGTTTTTACTTATTAGCACTTCTTCCATACAGTTAGATTTTTTTTTTTGTCTTTGATTTGACTTAAATGAAAATACTATCATTTTTTTCAATGCGTAAAATACAATAATGAATTTTAACCACTAAATTGTGTATACATTATTTATGTATTTATTTCCTTACCACAATAACTTACCATCCAACATGAATTTAAAGAATTAACTACCTAATGGTTTTTTAAAATTGTACATCCAAATTGATTTTATTGATAAAATAAAATAAATTGTGTATACCAAGAATCAGGWTAGGTTCATAGAATCAAATTGAAAGTAAAATCCATGTGCTTAAAAAGGAGCACCATATTTTACTTAAAAATACAAATTATTTGCAAAATTACATAATTTGATTAAATAAGTCTAGTTTTACTAATCTCAAACCAAATCTCTTAATGGTTGGATTATGACTTGCAGGGAATCCTTAAAAATAATCTATTGTTCATTTATTTTGTTATCATATGTTATAATCTAAATATATCTCTTAGTAAATACTTAAATGCAAATTTTACTTWGATTGAAGAATACATTTTTTAAGGAAAAAAATATATTTTTATTATATTTCTATGGATTATGTGTATTTAATAAGTATTCAAATGAAAATTATAAGCCAATACATTGTTTGAAACTGTGTTGGGTATAATCTATTAAGTTACTAATTACTAGATATGATAACAATTAGTATAACAGAAAACTAGGAATTAATTATTATGTTAGGTTTGAATTTGAATTTGGTCTTACTTCCATTAATTTGCACCTCAGATAAGGTAGAAAAAGAGAATTCTAAGTTGATACTTGATTTAACAAATAGATGAGGGTAAATGTATTTAAACATTTTCATTCTCTGGCTTCTTCATCTCCACAAAATTTTGGTGGCTCTCAAACTATAAAAACACGGAAAAAAAAATTAAATGTTTTACTTTTGGAATAAAACAATGCATTTTATTCAATCATTATCATTGTAATTATTTTTCCTCATGTSTACAACGGCTCCTCAGACCAATGGTGTTACCATGATTTATATAATATAAATAATATAATGGTTTATTATTTTTATAATGTTCTATAAACATTATTGTTTAATTAATTTATGTTATTTATTGTTATGGACGATCCTGAGATGTCCTCACAAATAAATTCACAAACACTTTAGGACTGATTAACTTTCTGTATTTGTAATTAAGAATAAACGTACAACTATATCAATGAAAAATAAGGCTCTGAATGTTCTGTACAAACGTAATGCTCTGTCACCAATCCTGGACTGCCGCACTCGCCTTCTATGCGCAAGGCGTCCAGGCCGGTCGTCGGGTCTCGATGGCTTCATCAGCACATTCCTTGAGCCCGAYGACGGCTCACACATATACATATAATAATATTAACATATACATATACTAGTTAAAGCAGTGGTTCTTAACATTATTTATATAAATTAACAAGTTAACTCAATTTTGAATATCACGAAATCAGAAATTTAATTTATAAAATTAATTGTTAAGTAAAAATGATACTATAATAATAATAATTTTATAAACTAGATAAATTTTTATGAAAAATTATCACTTAGTCTTTATATTTAAAAAACATACTTTTTTTTCAAAATGACTAATTTTTTTCTAGGGTGGAATGGGAATGCCTCAAGGCAATATGCCTGGACAATTGCAATTACCACCGGGTCCGAATATGCCTGGTGGTCCAGGACCTAACCAGATGCCAGGGCTTATGCCTAACAGTGCATTAACAGCCTCTTTACAAAGTCAACCTCAATCAAATTTGKGTTAGTAATTACACCAATTACAATAAAAATTGTTTGAATAATATTTTTTATTTACCAAAATAGCCGACTTAATGGGATCCAACAATTTTGCTCCACAAGGTAATCAGGTAGTCTCTAATAGTCCATCTGTTCAAATGATGTCTAGTCCTCAACCAACTGGACAACCAGTTAATGTCAATAATCCAAATATGCCCTTACAGGTAAAATTGTTTTAAAATTATACATTACTTAATACTTATGTTGCTTTATGTTTGATGATAAATCTAATTAATAGAGTCCTGGGGGCGTTGGAAATGTTGGTGTTCGTCCATCACAAGGTCAATACAGTGAACAAATCGAGATGGCTAGAAAACAAAATTTGGCTAAGATACATCAACTTCGTCAGACACTAGAAGCAGCACAACAACAAGAACTACAGTATAAGTCTCAAATGGAGGTACTTAGATTGTTTTAAACCTTTTTTATTTTAATGTTTTATTACCACTAACACAATAATTGCAGATACAAAGTCATCAAATGAACATACCACAAATGCAGCAACGTTTGGAACAAGCCCAAATGCAAGAAAACATATTGAAGTCTCAGCTAGAAGTACGATAAGTATAATATTTTTTATATGTTAGAAATATTTAAATAGCATTATATGGTATAGATACGTAATCAAATGAATGTGCCCCAAATGCAACAAAATCTGGAACATGCTCAAATGCAAGAGACCATATTAAAAGCACAATTGGAAGTGAGTAAACTTTTTCAATGTGTTGGTCTATGTTATTGTTTAAAGAACCTTTTAATGAAATATTTTTAATATATATTTTGGTGGAATTTATTTATAAATTGTTGGTAATTTTATGTCTAGCATCAACAAGAAGAACAACACAAATTAAGAACTCAACAATTCCATATCCATCAACAGCAACAGCAGCAACAACAACAACAGCAACAGCAATCAAGACAAATGGTTCCTGGAAATCAATCACCACAGATTATGGGTAATAGTGCACCACAGCAGAGAATGCAAATGAGACCTGTAATGTCCAGTAATCCTGGTCTCAGACATTTATTACAACAAGTATGTTTATGTTTTTAAGAACATTATATTGAATTTGTTTGAGTAATTTTTTTTTAAACTTAATTACTAATTTTAATATTTTTTAGCAAACACAATATAGACCACAAATGATGGGAATGCAGCAGGTTCCCATTGCTCAGGGCAGACCCTTGCAACCTCAACAACAGCAACAACAATATGATGAAGTTCATACATTTGATTTTCTCAACTAACTCAATTTTAAAATAATTATATTTTAGGTTTATTTTGGTGAAATTGTGTAATTTTTTATTTTAGTTTTCTGATCATTCATTAATATTATATATGATATTTCCAATAATCAATTTGCTCAAATTGTGTAATTTTTTATTTTTTTGAATAATTGAAAAATATGATAATGCATTATTAATGAAAAGTTTTTAAAAATTTTATTAATTATTTAATTTTTTTTTACCAAAATATTTATGATTATTGACAAACAATTCTAGAATTCCTATTTATATAAATTATATTTATTATTTTATTATTTGTAAATAATTTCTTTAATTTTGTTAAGAACCTATAATAAAATAACTTATTTTTCTCATACGTAGATCTTAGCCTGTTTTAATATTTTAAAATAATGTGTTTTTCATTTATGTATTTATTTTAAATTAATTAGAAATGYTAATATTTCTAAATGCTAATTTTGATAAGTATATGAACATTATAAACATTTGTATTTACCAAGAACACAATGAAGTATTTACTAGTTTCTACTCTACTCTAGTTCTCTAGAATTAATATTTAACATCACTGCTCCCTGTCTGGTTATCTATACTCTAATCAAAATAAAAAACAGTAATCTGCAGAGATGAATTTTCATCCACGGCGGTCTGACACATTTTCAGACACGTTAAGCCAGTATTATGGAAGATAGCGACACCCCTGCTCACAATTTGGATGCCGACTACCGTTCTTGATTTAAATAGAGTACACTTAAGTATTTATTTCTAAACAAGTTAAAAGAGTTCACTCTTCAAGTGTGCTAACTTTCGATTTCAAGAATTAAAAATAATTAAGTAATCTTATGTGATATACTTTTGTTTAGAAACCTAAATGAATATATTTATTAAACAATGATGTGGGTTTTCATTTTTATTTTGTGTATGCCATCACCTTTTGGGACAGTAAAAATGCTTCAGTTGTCTTTAACAGTATTTTCTTTGGTATGAAAGTGAATATAATTGGTACTTTGGGTGGTGGACGGTTGTCAAAAGTGCGGTAAAACAGAACGAAAAATAAAAACCGTAAAGACTGAAATGCGTATCATGAGAAATTGTATATAATAATCGATTTAGCTCTGATTAATATTAAAGTTATTAAAGTGAATTGTATAAACTCATTACCTGTTTTAAAATTAAAATATAAAAAAGTCCTATGAGGTTCACCAGATGAAATTATTACTTCTAAATTTGATGAAAGGTTATTTGCTCCAATATTAACCATGACAGAGTTGAATCGAATATTCAGAACGTAAAATATGTCAYGTATGGGTTAGTAATATGGAGACAATACAGCCATACAGGCGGTTGTGGCGCATTCTTCTAACTCCAACAAATATAATACAAAACCATTGATTGTAAATTTTAATTATTAGTGGGGGCGAGCTGAGGCCCTGAAGGCTAAAATCACGGGTGGATTTAAGTTTTGCAAACCTCCAAACAAGCGACACATTTTACATTATTTTTATTTTTAATGAAAAACAGAAGTTCAATCAAATCCATTTAGCCTCGTTACATATTAATCTGTTGGTACATAAATGTCATAAATGAAATCACAACATTTAGCACAGAATATTATATGAAATTTCACCTATTCTGAGCAAACCATAGACCTTATACTATGATTATACTTTTATTTTCAGAGTGGGAGGTGTTGAACTTCCAAACCCAACCACTCCTATAGGCTATAATATACTATATGATAATAAATACGTCCATGTTAGTAAATAGTAGGTACCTATATAACAATATATACCTAAATAGGTTGTTAACGACTATAGTATTGTTCTGTAGAAACATACCACGTAATATTATCTATATTAAAAATACTGTGTAGGTAGGGAGAGTGGGGCAGATTTGAATAAAACTTACATTTAATTTTTTAAATTTTAAATTTTTTGACAAATTTTGTATTTGATAATTACAATCTGTAGTCTAGTCGTCTAGATGATTGTGAATACAATTCGACTCGTAACAATTTTATATATTAAATAACTAGTTTAATTACTAATTATAAAGTTAACTACCTATATTTTTATTGAACGTGCATGGGGTAGATCAGGCGCGTAGCTAGAAATTTCTAAGGGGGGGGGGGGTGTTATTCAAAATTAATTGAAAATATTATAAACACAAAATTGATAACTTTACGTAGGTATACGATAGACGATAGTTCATCATGATAATCAATAATTATTATATTGTTAACGTTTTCTTACACGCTGCATAAAAATATATATTAAATCGTGCGAAACGAGCAATCGATAAAACGAAACAGAACGGTCAAAAATAGTAATTAATGCCGGATCCCGGCTTTAGTGCTTTACATTATTG